CATTCAGAGGCAGACCAGCAGCAGGAAGGTCTGAGGCTGTTGGTGCAACCCAGGGCCAGGGCGAAAGTGATCTGTTGTAAGGGAGGGAGCCCGGGCCTCACCAGGCACTGGAGCTGCTGCCACGGAGGATTTGTAGTGACTTGTAAAGGCTTAAAGGAGTCCAGGCACCTGGAGGCAGAGGCAGCAGCCTAGCCCGAGCTGCGCTCCCACGGCGGAGGGCGACCTCTGCCGGCCACCAAGTACTCGCCACTTCCCAGCGCCAGCCAGCCTAATGGCCTTGGAAGCAAGTGACTGGGTTTGGACAGGTCAGGTGGAACAAGGAGGATGTCTCTGTGGGCCCAGCTACAGCATGAGGTGGGGACTGCCAGGAGGCTCTGACACTGGTCTCGGAGCAGTGAAAAGAACCAGACAGTAACAGTTATGAAGGCAGAGGGTTCGAATCTCAGCCCAGCAGCTTCCAGGCTGGGCGACCTCTTCACCTCTCTGAGCCTTTTAAAAATCAAGAAAACAGCCTGGTGCCTGAACGTAGCAGGTGCAGAGCGAATGAGAGATCCCAGCCCACCCCTTCAACAGGCTGCCTCCCTCGTGCCGCCCTCAGCCCCCCTTGCTTCTGCATGCCTGTGACCCTTAGCTTTTGAGGCCTTGACCCTTTTACTGTGCAGACTGGCGCCTCCAGTCCCATCCATTCCTGATTTGAATAACTCCAATTGTCCACCACTGATCTAGCAGTTTAAAGATGTCACCTTACCTGTGGGTATCTCCTTAATCAGCCCAACATTTGTTCTTGTTTGGGTTAAGAAACACAGAACACATGGTTTGTCCCTTTGTCCCTTTGATAGAATGTGCTGTTTCTTCTGCCAGCCACTCCCCACCCTCCGGGTCTCACAGTGTCCCAAGCCCATCCGTTCATTTCTTGGTTTCTATGAAATGGAGCCCCAGCCTGAGAGAAAAGCTTCCTGGGATCTGGACCCAGCCCAGACATGCTGTGACCTTGAACAAACCACTTATGGGCCTCAGGTTCCCCAAAATAAAACCAGCTGAAGTGTTAGGGCAGGTGGTGGACCTCAAAGCACCTTTGGCCATTGATGTTCTGGGAGTCTTTGAATCCAGAAGCCAGTTCAGTCCCACCACTGGCCTATGGACAGGATTACCCGTGAGCTGCAGAGAGACCAGCCTGAACTTGGACAGTCCTATCTCCCCGCTTTGTTGTTTATTTCCTAAAGTGAGACCTGGCCCCCACCCAGCCATGGCTCAGCCGAGAAGAGTTTCTGAGCCCCAAGGTCACTGGCTGGGTGGGTCTGGGCTCTTGGTGCCTGCTTGGGGCCTCCCTGGGTGGGCCGAACACTCGCAGACTCCAGAAACTATCTGTCAGTCATTCACCAAACATTTATCAAGTCTCTGCGGGGGCTCTGGCCCTGGGCAAGATGCCACAGCCATCCTGGAAAGTTCCTTCTTAGAGGTGGAGCCTTATGAGACCACCTAGTCCCCTCTCTGCAACATCCTGTTCTACAAATCGGAAACCAAGACCTAGAAACCAGAGAGGGCTGCTCCATGCCCTCCTGGTGTGAACACCCAGGTGTCCACTGGAGTGAAGGAGACGAAGGAGAGCCAGAGAAAACACCAAGAACTTCCACGTGCAAGTTTCTGGCCCCCTGGGCACTGAGGTTTGTCAACAATGCCCCCTGCCGGCCACTTAGGCCACCACGGGCCCTTTGTCCTGGTTGGCTGTGGCCTGTGGACAGGGGGATGAAGGCCTGGGGCTTCTTTGTACTTTCCCCCAGGCTCTCCCAACCAGGAGCTGAGTTGACCCAGGCCTTTGTTTAAAGCCTTTGGCTCAGCCTCCCTGTCCCAGCTGACTGTGAAAACTGCAATCGATTGAAACCCTGGTAGCCACTGCCCATCCATGCCCAGGGTGGGGCCTGGGCTTTCGCAGCCCCCTGTGTACCACGTGCTTGGGAGACCGCCAGGGTCCCTTCAGCTCAGATTGGGTCTGGCACCAGGAGCAAAGGTGGCCTTCCCAAAGGCGGCACTGGCTTGCTCCTGCTCTGGGCCCTCCCGTGTCCTGCTTCCCCCACCGCAGTTTTTCCCTTGCCCCAGGAGCCTTTGTCCTGTGAGCCCTGGCTGAGGCTCCGTGCAGGAAACTCAGGAGGAAGAATTTAGCCCATGCTTGGGGCCCTACAGGGGTAGCAAAGGGAGCTGCACCCTCACCGCTTCCTGCCCCCCACCCCCACATAAACACCTGTACCCCGGCCCCTCCCCAGTACCTGTTCACCAGTTTGGGTTGAATGGGAAAGCCAGGATTCTGGAGCTGGCTCCTTCCCGACCAACTGTAACCTCCGAGCCTCAGTTTCATCATCCGTAAAGTGGTGTTATAATAATATTATCTATCTGCGCCCAGTGCCTGAACTGGCACCTGACTCATAGGAGAAGCTCAACAAACAGTCGCCTGATAGGTTACCTGGAGTGGATACAGGCCAAGAGTTCCCTGAATACACGAAAATGATTTCATTTTAATCTCTGAATGCCCCTTAGATCCAGCATAGGATCCAGTATAGTAATTACAAAGTAGTTCCTGGGTGAGTGGAAGCTTGCATGGATGGACAAGTGGAGATGAAAGATGTTTGGATGGGTGCATGGGTGGATGGACGGACAGATAGACGGACAGGCAGATAAGTGATGGATGGAGAAGTTGGATGTCAGGGTGTGTAAGTGTGTGGTGGGCAGCGGGTGGGGTGAATGGGGGGGATTGTCGGCAGAGTGAGGGTGGGTGAAATAAATAGGCGGCATAACCCCCCTTTTACCTTCTTGCTAGAGAGTTCCTGAAAGCACTTATCAGAAGTACAAATGTCCAAATGACCCAGCAACTCCATTTCTAAGAGTATATTCTCTAGATTAATTCACACATGTACGGTGCCAGCATAAAGGGTTATTCCTACAACACTGTTTGCAATGATAAAACTGTGGAAGTAGCTTCAGGCTCCATCGCTTCAGGCTGGAGTGAGAGCCCCAAGAATGGAGGGGCTCCGGCCTCAGAGCAGCTCCTGGCAGGCGCCGACATTCAGGTGTAGCTGGATAAATGCTTCATCTGTGCCATGAGGACTGTGCAGCCATTAAAAAGTGAAAAGGCTCTGTGTTTTGATGTGGAACAAACTTTGAGATATAAATTAAGAGGATAAAAGCCTGTAGATAGTGTGTATGGGATGCTGTCATTTTGTGTTTTAAAAAAAGGGAAAGTGGGGCCGACCCCGTGGTGCACTCAGGAGAGTGCAGCGCTGGGAGTGCAGCGACACTCCCGCTGTGGGTTCAGATCCTATATAGGAATGGCCGGGGCGCTCACTGGCTGAGCGCGGTGCGGGCGACACCACACCAAGGGTTGCGATCCCCTTACCGGTCACGAAAAAGACAAAAAAAAAAAGGGAGAGTGGCGGGGGGAGTACGGGTAGATACTTGCTTCTAGCCGATGATACTCTCTGGAAGAGGACTGATGGCTCCCAGTCTCCTAGGAAGGGCACCTGGGTGCTGGGAAAGGGCCAGGGTTTTCACTGGATACCCTTGTGGACTTTCTGATTTTCGAACCAAGCAAATGAGTTACCTTTTCAAACACAAATGACACAGTAACAGTTGCCTCAAAAGAGCTCCCTGGAGGAGGAACGGGGCTTTCTTCCCCAGGTTGGGCCAGGCCAAGGGTGCTAATGCTGGAGACAGAGAGCCAAGGCCTGGGAAGCAGACAGGCAGGCAGACAGCCCACGCTCCTGCAAGCCATGGGCACTGGCAGGCCTCGGGACCTCAGTTTCCTCATCTGTAAGATGGAGATATTCCTAGCCTTACAGAGTGGGCATGAAGACAGGTGCCCAGCACACGGAAAGTGCCTGGTAAATGGGACTTTTGGTGACATGGCTACAGATGAAGGGCCTCGGGGGGCAGTGTGGCAGGATAGCAGAGAAAGCCAGGGACCGTGGGCCTCCTGCCCAGCACCCTGCATCTGACCCTTGTGTCTGCAGCCTGAAATATCCACTGGGTACGGGAGGGCACGCTGAGCTGGCAGATGGCAGACTTCTGCTTTGACCCAAGGACCTGGACCCCTGAGCAGTGGGTGGACGAGAGCTGTACAGTCTCCTCTCTCTGCCATTGCTGTTGTGGCCTCCTTGGTGGGACCTGGGAACTCATGGGGCTTCTGGAGCTGAGGGAGATGCCTTCACTGAGCTCCACCACCATGAACAAAGCTGCACCCATGTTAATGTTCCTGATCCCCTCCCCCCAACTCAGGAAGGGTAAGCTTAGTAAGCCTAGTGCCCAGGACACTCACATACCCTGACTGCCCAGCCCTATGTGGTAGAAGCTGCCATGGGCTAGCAGTCAGGAGCCCTGGTATGGGCTCTGACACTGGCTCACTGCCCCACGCTAGTTAACTCCCTTCCTCTCTGCCTCAGTTTCCTTATCTGGGTGTGGTGCTAATTCATACCCTCTTTTCCCAGGAAGGTAGAGTGAAAAAATAGAGTTGCGAGTGGCTTGTAAAATGTGAAGAATTCTCAAGTATGAGGGATTTGGGGATGGCAGGAGGTACTCATGACAGGAGAGCTGCGCTCACAGCACACATGCAGTGAAGATCTTCATCTGGGAAGGACCTGCACGCACATGCGCATGCGGCCACATCGAGCAGGCTAAGCCCTGGACCAGGAATCCAGGGATGGGGTTGCTGCTCCCCCAATGCACACACATGTACAGAAATGCGTGCACCTGCATGTGCAATCTCTTGTCCCCATGGGCATGCCAGCCCAGCGTCCCTTCGAGCCACACATGGAGACCGCCCAGGAGCACCTCGTGCCTTCAGCCCATTGGGGCGCTCTAGCTGTGCCTCCCCACCATGGCCCCGCAGGGCCGAGCAAAGGGCCCTGGAACCTGCCAGTGCTGAGGCTGGGAGGTGGCTGGGATGCTGGTGTGAGGTCAGCAGGCCTGGCGTGATCACACCGACACCCTCTCTCTTTTCTCTTCACAGGCTGGACAACGTTCATGGCTCTCGGGTAGAACCCAGCGAAACGGCCAGAATGAATTCTATGGACAGGCACATCCAGCAGACCAATGACCGCCTGCAGTGCATCAAGCAGGTGAGTGTACGGCTGGGTGCACTCTCCTCCCCATCTGGCCTGGCACAGCCAGCGAGGCATGGCAGACGAGGTGGGCAGAGCAGTAGGGGTGCTGGCCTGTGTCGCACATGGCATATGGCACGTGCGTGCTGGGTGGAGGTCATGGTGGGCTGCCTGGGGCTCCCTGACCACCCTCCTAGGGAGACTAGTGTTGACATGCTGGCCTGGACCAGCAAACCTAGGAACCACACACACCTGTGTTTGAATGCCAGCCCTGCCCTGCCCTGCCCTGCCCCTCTCTTCCCAGCTGTGTGACTTTGCACCAGTGTCATGCCCTCTCTGTGCTGTGTTTGTGTGCTCTGGGTTATTGTGAGGATGCAGTGAGGTGCCTAACACTGCGGTCCCCTTCCCACCACGTCCCTTCCCAGCCCTAAGCTCCCTCTTCTCTGAAAAAAGCCACAAGAGAAGAAAAGTCCCTGGGAAGTTAGATCATTTTATGAGAAAGGAAACTGAGGCACAGAAAGGTGAAGGGAGCAGGCTGAAATCACACAGTTCAGAACTTGGCCCCACTGGTGCTGGGAGGACCTCATCCCAGAGGGTGGTGAGCCCCCCATCCTGCCATGGCTCACACCAAGCCCCCGTGGGGATTGCTGGAAGGTGGGGAACCCTTCGTGGGGGCACTCCCAGCAGTGGCCAGGGTGGTGTGCTCACGCTGGGGCTCAGCCTCCCCGCAGCCCAGCCACAGCTCCCTTGCACATACCTGGGAGTGTCAGAAAGGAGCAGGTGTGGTGGGAGGGGCATGGGCTTTGGTGTCAGACAGACCTGGACCCAAGTCCTCTCTCCTCTATATACCCATGAGGGATCTCAGACTAGTCACTTCATTCCTCTGAGACTCAGTTTCCCCACATGTCAAACACAGACAATACGGCCTGCCTTGTAGAATGCTGTGAGGATATCATGGGTGACGCACATAGCCCGGCCCTGGCACCTGCAGATGGTCGGCTAACGGCAGTGGCTGTCGTCCTCAGTATTTCAATGACCAGTGACGGGAAGGCTAGTGCTGGGTCTCGGGCCCCTGGCTTAGGCAGGCTTAGCAGAAAGCTCAGGTAATCAGCAAGGACTGTGGCTTCAGGACTGTGGCCGGGCAGGGTTCACAGCCACCACCCAACCCAGGCTTTTCTCCCTCAGAGCAAGGGGCCCAAATATAGCCTCCCCAAGGTGCCTGCCCAGTGGAGTTGAGGCTATTCCGTGGGAATGGGGAATGCGTGTCCTCTCATTAGCATCAAGCAGAGCCATCTCAGAAGCCCGTGCAGGGTCTGAGGAGAGAAAATTGAGGAAGACTTGTTACAGATTGAACCCAGCCTGCGCGGCTCTCTCCAAGACTAATTACACGCCTCTGCTCACGGTCACAGGGTAGAAGCCGGACGGTGCGCCTCCCTCTTCCACCTCCCCTCCTTCTCTTGGGCGCTCTGCAGGAGTGGCTCCCAGCTCTGCCCCGACCCAGTGTCTCCCGCTTGTGGCTCAGGTGGCAGTGACCCCCACCTCCAGTACAGTCATGCCCCCCATTCAGGAGCCCCTACGTATGCCAGGCGCATGGCTCCTCTTGAGACCTGCTCTCAGCTTGACTCTCCTCCTGCATCCAGCTCTGCAGCAACAGGAGTCAGGGTGCCCTTTACCCCCTCAGCCCTTCCCCAGCCCCAGCATGGGCAGAGTCCCCCCCAGAGCAGCCTCTCACAGCGTGGCACATGCAGCTTAGGTTCACAAGTCAGTGAACCAGAGTCCCCATACAAGCTATGCGACCTTAAGTGTCGCTTCACCTCGCTTCATCTGTAAAATGGGCATCATAATCAATGCACACACAGCCTGTGAGTGCTGGAGGCTCACTGCCCTCCCACAGCCTGCCCCTGCACACGCACGCACGCGCACACACAGAGGACTGTGCATTTGGGCCAGGCAGCGGTGTGCCTGTGAGTGTGAGCAGGCTGTCCCAATACCCCCGAGCCGTCCGCTGCTCCCTGCATCCCCATGTCCCCCCCGCACCTCCGGTCAGACACAGCTCAGCACTGACGTCTGTCTGCTCCACAGCTGCCCCAGAGGACTGTTGATTCTCAGGCATCCCGTAACCTAATCAGAAGAGAAAGGCAAGCCTGTCTGCATGTGCTGACGGTGATGGATGTGTCGGCTGTGTGGACCTGGGGCTGGTGGGGGCTGTGGCTCCCATCAGAGACCTCAGGGCTCTGGACTCTCGGCCCCGCCTCACCTCCCCAGCATAGCCTTCCCTCCCCCACCCATGCTGGTCCTAGCCAATGCTGGTATTCATCACCCGCAAGCACCCTGCTGCTCATCTTCCCTCCGGGCCTCTAGCTCGGCAGCCTTTCCCCGCTCTCAGCCCCATGGTACTGGGCGAACCAGTGTTCTCTCTACGGTATGCCCCACACAGAGGTCACAGGCACATCTGGCCTCCATGTGGAGAGCCCTGCCGGTCAGCTCATTCCTGCTCAGGAGGCCCCCCGAACCCCAGGCGCCTTTCTGAGCATCTGCACCCGTTTCTTAGCTCGGGTGCTTTGTGAGCCTCCGGCTGCTTCACCCAATCTGCTTTCTTCCTTGAGCTGTAGGCTCTTTGGGGCGTCTGTCTGGTCTCCCACCCGGCTGAGTTCTTTGGGGGCAGTGATGTGCCATATTCATCTCTAGGTCAGCAGAGTCTAACCTGGGGCCCAGCCCAGGGAGGGGCCCAAGGGTTTTAGGTGGATGCAGGGGGAGGATGGACTGATAGATGGATACATAAAGGGATAAATGGACATGTGTATGGGTGGTTGTGTAGAGACAATGGATGGATACATGAATGGATGGGTGGATGGACGGATGAATTAACTTCTGGATGAATGGGTACATAGGTAGATGAGTGAATGGATGGATGGGTGGGTGGGCAGGTGGGTAGATGGATGGATGGATGGGCTCGTTTTGGATAGAAGGATGAATGGATGGATGGATGAACGGGTCTATCATTTGATTCACAGATGGACTAGTGGACAGAAGGATTGATAAGAAGACGAGTTAACCATTTGAAGGGTCGCCAGTCCCTGGTCTGGGCATTGGTGTGCCTTCCCCCTGCCCCAACAGACTCAGCAGCCATTGGATACAGCCCAGATCTTCTGAGGAATCGTGAAGATGGGCAGGCTTTCTGGTGGGGACAGGATATTAGTGTCCAGTAACAGTCACAACCAGGCAAGCCTCTGGCTATGACTCAAATACGTGCTCCTGTCCCCAGACCATGACAGGTCAACCAAGCTCACCCCACCCAGCCCTGCCCCCTCCATGTGCCACTGGGGACCCATTCCGAAGTGGCCAGTTGCTCGTCTGCACAGCAAGTGGACTGTCCTCTGGACTGTTAACTGCTCACCTCCCTTTTCCTGTGAGGGCCCAGCCTTGTGCCAGTCTTTAGGGTTCCAGAGGTGAACAAGAGGCTGTCTGTACCCTCAAGAAGCTCATGAGAGAAACAAGGAACCGTAGAGGCTCTAGCATAAACAGCAACAGCAGTCTTTACCCAGGCACGACTCTGTAATGGACTCCTTACGTGCTTTGTTTCTAAACTTTAGAGCAGCCCAGCAAGTTGTCACCACCCCACTTTACAGATGAGGGATCTGAAGCTCAGTAATGTCCTCAGGACTGCATGATTTGGTGACTGAAGCAGGGTTTGGACCAGGTCTGTCCTACACTTTTCATTGAATCACTCTCCCTGGGCACTTTGGCCACCTCATGGTTGAGACAGGCAACAAAGGCACAGAGAAGGGAGGGGACTTGGCCCAGGCCATAGAGCTGCTACACATCAGCCAGTCAAGGAAATGCCTGACATTTTCTCCACCAGTGTGACGCAAACACAACTAAAGGCCATGCGAGCTGAACGAGGTGTGGGCAGAGGATCCCTGAGGCTGCTGGCAAGATATGGAGGCCGTGTGTGCAGGTGCCAGAACAAGGCTGGGCCCCTGGACTGACCTCAGAGGCTTCTCCAGAACGCAGAGCCCCAAAGGGGGGTGCTGTGGCTGACTGGGGGCAGGCAGCTCTGAGAGCAGCACGCGGTGACTGCTGACCCTGCTAATTGGGTGTGACATCACGTAAATAAATGAAACAACTCGGTTAGCAGGGCAGGACAAGCTGATTTGCATGGCTCTCCACGTGGAGCCCAGATGCCACCTATGGCCTCTGAGGGGCACACTGTAGAGTGAGGGCAGGGAGGCAGAGGCGAGGACCCGCTGCTCTCTCTCTCAAAGGGCATGTTTCTGTATGGAGAAGTCCCTCCTGTCTTGCACAGTCCAAGCACAGGGAGCGCTGCCTTTGCAGAAAGAGCCGGGCCGAGAGCTGCTGCAGACAGTTCTTCTGTCAGAGGAGCCTTTGGGAGACAGAGTCGGGCCAAGGGCAGCCCCACGCGCCAGGTGCCATGCCAGGGCCATATAAGCCTCATCTTGTTTAATCCTCGCCTGCCCCATAACAGAGGGCTCTGTTGCTGCCTGCTTGCCCTCTCTCTTTCCTTCCTGTCTTCCTCTCCCTTTGCTTCCGTGGAAGGAGGATATTCTGACTCATTTCACTTTCTTCCATCCATTTTTAAACCTTGCCTTGCATGAACCACATGCAACCGTCACGGAACCCTAAGCGAAAGAACCAAACGTTCCCACTGACAGGCTGTGGTCTGTCGTCCGCATTTACAGATGTGGCAACTGAAGCTTGGAGAGGCGAGGCCACCACCCTAGCTCAGAGGCTAGCAGGAGGTGAAGGCAGAGTGTGACCCCAGGAACCTGCCCCGCGGGGCTCCCACAGCACACTCTTCTTCCCTCCCAATTCTGAGACCTGCAGCTCCGGACCACCCCCGACACTCCCCGCAGCGCTGAGACAGACTCACGCCGCAGGGTGGGCTGGAGCGATGCCCAGTAGCAGCTACTGTTCTGCTGTCTCTCCCACCACCAAGGCAATAGGGACCTCCAGAGGTGCCACCATCCCTGCTGTGGACACCCTCTAGGGATCTCCCTGGGGGACGCAGTCAGTCATACCTACCACTGGGCCAAAGTCCCACCCCAGGATCCCCTCTCTGCCCCTAACCTGCTTCGTCCCCCTGGCCAAGTCATTTTTCTCCCGGACTCAGTGCCATACTCAAAGGGCCTGGGAACACACGGATGAGTGTTAGAGAAAGAAGGGTGGCCATGGGAGCCGCCCTCCCACCATGTCAGCCCCATGGCATGGGCCTAAAGTAGCACCTGGAGGCCTGGGCACCCCTACCCCAGAATTCAATCTCTGTTGACTCAGACTCCCTGACTGGGAGGGCCCTGAGGTCAGACCCCAACCCTTCTCAATGATGCTGGCAGCCCTTGAGCTGAGGCAGACAATGCCCAGTAAATGTGGGCCTGGGTTACTGGCACAGTGAGCCACAAGCACAGACCATGGCATGACAATACCTGGGCACCGTGGGCTTCACCCACTTCCCAGCTGGGTGTGGCTTCCTCTTGCCCTCAACCCTGTTGGGCTGTGGCAGAGCTTGCTCTGAAGCCAGAGCTGGTGGGAGTCAGACCTGGGCTTTGGTAGTTGGGAAATGGGGGTGAATCAGGATGGAATCTCCAGAGCCAGACTGTCCTGGATCACGGAGAGCCAGACCCCAAGTGTGACAGCCAGATGCCACCCTCCGTAGCCCTGCAGCCTTCACCTCCCCACCCCCAACCAGCATCCAGAAAGCACTTTAATATCTAATGTCATTGGCCTTTTCTGGACCTTGGTTTTCCTGTCTTTGCAATGGGGCTACTAATCTCCGTCCTGCTGGGGTGGGGTGGGGCGGACACCACAGGCAGGTGGATGAGAGAGAGTTTCTCCCTGGTGAGCCTGGGCTCTTCCCCACCCCAGACCCCGACAATACCTATGCTGGCCTCGTCCTGGAGCCTCAAGCGCCTCCTTTTCCTTTCCCACAGCACTTACAGAATCCCGCCAACTTCCACAATGCCGCCACAGAGCTGCTGGACTGGTGTGGAGACCCGCGAGCCTTCCAGCGGCCCTTCGAGCAGAGCCTGATGGGCTGTTTGACAGTGAGTCCGCACCCACTGGGTGGCGGGGGCTAGCAAGCAGGTCCAGGTGTCGGGGAGGCCACCAGATAATGGAGGGTGAGAGCTGGGAAGACCCCAGTGCTGGAGGGGATGGCCGGGCAGTGCATGCCCCTGACGTACACACCCCTTCAGAGACCTGGGTCTGATGGGGAGACGGGGTTCCCGTGGATTACATGGGTCCCCCACACTTGATGAGAAAGACACGGGGCTCACTTTAAGGGTCAGCATTCCAGAATAAGCAAAGCAGAGCGACTCTGGAAGGGTCTTCAGCCATCCTTTTACCCAGTCATTCACTCCTTCATTCAGCAAACACTCACTGGGCTCTTTTTACAGGCATCCGTCCACTTATCCGTTCACGTAAGCACTTACTGAGCCCTGTCACATCCACCCCCCTAGCCAAATAAACACTGATCGATCCCTCATTTATCACGCATGGTCCCCTCTGCTAAGTCCTGGGAAGCCAAAGATGAATAAGACTTTATCAAGCTGGATTTCCTCTTTAATGGGGGAGGCAGGTGTGGCAAGAGATGACCAAGAAAATTGTGTACGAGGTGAAGACAGCACAGAGGACGGAATCCTTAACTGCCTGGAAGGTGGGGCGGGTCACAGAAGCCTGAGAAAGGAGCCACTTACACAGGTGCAGGAGTTTGCCCAGGTGCTGAGGACAGCGAGAGCGCTCTAGGCACAAGGAGCAGCATGTGCAAAGGCCCGGACGCCCAGGAGAACCCGGAGAACTGGCTGAAGGTCTAGGGTCCAAGCCAGGCAGAGGCCAGGCCCAGAGCTTGTGCCATGATTTCCCAGGCTAAGGAGCTTGCCACATGGAACTGGCTCACAGCTGGTGGATGTCCCTGGCCATGTGGCCTGTGTCTGTAAGTGTGAGGGCACTTGGGTGGCCTGTGGGGGCAGCTGCTCACAGAGCCGAGTCAGCCTTGGAGGGAATGTGGGTAATCGGATTGCTGGGGAGCCTGCCTACCCCGAGGCTTGGACACAAAAGACTAAGAAGGATGCCTGGCCGGGCAGAACAGTGGGCATAGTCCAAGGGCACCATGTTTCCTGAGAAGCTCCAGAAAGGAGGGAGATAAAAGGCCCAGCGTGGCCCTGGCCTGGAGCAGAGGAAATAGTGACATGGACCATCATTACCAAGCACCTGTTCTGAGCTGGCCACTGTAGATGCCATCTCCCTGAATCGGCGAGATTGGTCCTGCGACCTTCCCCATTTTATAAAGGAAGACACTGAGGCTTGCTGTAACTGACTTCCCGAGGTCACACAGCCATAGAGGTGGGCCTGGGACTCAAGCAAGACCTGTCTGCCCCTAGAGGGGATTTTTGGCCATTTGGGATGCTGGGCAGGGATACAGCCAAGACCCACCCAGGGCTCCTGTGTTTGTCAGAAGCCCACACCATCTGGCTCCCTCGGGGCCACCTGCACTGCCCCGTCTTCTGCATCCTTCAGCCCACCGGCTCCCTCTCCCTCCCCCACCTCCCTTAATCCTCTTTGCAGGGATCTTGGGTCAGGCTAAACCTCACAGCAGGGACAGATGTTGCCAGAGTCCCCTTCGCTCCCACCCCAGCTGCCAGCAGCCGTAGGGGAAGGAGGAGGTGGGGTCTATGTACAATGCATGGCCAGACAGGCTGCCATGATCCCCAGCACACAGCCCTAAGCCTGGTCCTGCCTGGGATGTAGGGACTCAAAACTGAATCAGACAATGGCCCTGGCCAGCCTGGATGGACCAGTAGCTGGACCAGCCTCAGCCCTGTCATTCATCCATCCATTCAACAGACATCACTGAGTCCGTGCAGGGGGCCAGCCCTGTGCTGGGCACGGGAGGGAGCATGGTGAACACGACAGACTGCTCCCCAGGAGCTTACCTTCCAGTGGGGGAGGCCAACAATAAAAATGTAAAGGAATAAATGAGGGGACACACCAGCACCCTGGGAGAGGGGGTGATGGGGAGAGAGCCAGGAAAAGTCTCCTGAGGATGTGGCCTCCTTGGCAGGGTGACAGGGAAAGGTGTTCCAGGCAGAGGGAACTGCTAGTACAAAGGTTTGCGGCTTGATCTGTTTGAGGCTTTGATCAGGGAACAGAGCAGAGGCCCTGGTGGCCAGTGCACAGGACCGGGAGGGGTACGAGATGAAGCGGAAGAAGGAGACAGAAAGTAGTCAGCACAGGGCCTGCCGGCAGGCAAGAGCAACAGAGGCCCTGGTGGCCAGTGCACAGGACCGGGAGGGGTACGAGATGAAGCGGAAGAAGGAGGCAGAAAGTAGTCAGCACAGGGCCTGCCGGCAGGCAAGAGCAATTCAGACATTATTTGGAGAGTGGTTGTCAGCAGGAGAGTAACGGCTTATGGATTTATGTGGGGACAGGAACTCTGAAGGGAACATCCTTGGAGGGCAGGATGGAGGGATTATCAAGGGCTTCCTGGAGGAGGGAGCCTGGGGAGGGCCCTGTGGGATAGGACTGGACAGAGAGGAGGCCATGGCTGTCCAGGCAGGGGACACTGTGTGGGCAGAGCCACAGAACCAGCTTTCCTGGGCCTCTTCTCTCTGCACTCCAGCTTAAGATAGGCGCCAGCCTGCTGCTTAGCCAGGAAGGGGCCCGTGACCCACCCGCCACAGCTGCAGAGACCTGAGCTTGATTGTCCCTTAGAGCTCAGGAGAGCCAGTGGCGGGAAGGGACTGCAGGGCGGTGGCATAGAAGACCCTCTTGATGCCTAAGGTATTTTCCTGGGCACTGTCTCCTTGGATCCCTATGAAGACCCTTCAAGGTGGGCAGGGAAGTGGTCACCACGCCTACTTTATAAACAAGGCAACTGAGAGAGGGAGCAGCAGCCTACCTTAGCCCCAAGCTGGTACCTCTCAGGAGCCCCCTGGGCCCAGTCGCCAGTCCTCCCCTCCCCCAGGACATCCTTTGCCCCAGCCCTGCCCCACGGGGGGATGGGATGGGAGCAGTCAAAGATCCCAAGGGACCTAGGCCAGGCAAGGTATCTGACCCCCACCCCAACACACACCCACACGCACACCCACACGCACTCCTCTCCATGGAGTTGCCAGCCTGAGTGTTCCAGGTTGCTATGATTCCCTGGGTGACCTCTGGGAGCAAATTCCTCTGGATCCGGCTTACTTTGAGGATATAAATTAAAAACCACTTAACCTCGGGCAGCAAATGGACACATTTTTGCCATACGGGCTTCTAAGCAGCTCACGCACAATTGTAGTGAGAGGCTCTGGCCCCTGGGGGTGAAGAGCGCTTTGGGCTCCTGGCAGGCTCCTGCCCCACCCGCCCGTTCACACTCTGTGACTTCAGGTCCTAGAGGGCCCTCCCAGGGGCGGGGTATCAGCCTTGGGCCACCACTTCCTCTTCAGAACCAGGTTCTTCCTGGCTGAGAAGGAGGCTCACTCCCCCCCTCCTCTAGAAGCAGGGCTGAGCCCCCTTTTGGGGTCGGGCCTCTCTAGACTTGTTCCTTCTTCCTCCCCTGAGGTAGAACATGCTTAAGGAATAGAACGAAAGCTCGAGCGGTTCGAGCACAGGACAGGAAGCTGGCCTTGAGAGGGAGTCAAAGAGGGAAGCAAAACCCAGCTGGTCATCAGCAACCCCCCCACCCTCTACAGTGAGGAATTCCTCACAGCCTCAGCGCCGTCACTGCCGAAGCCATGGGGGTGCATTCACAAACAGCATTCATTAAACGTCCACTGCTGCCTGATCTTGGTCTGTCATCCTGGCAAGGAGGGCATTTTATACCCATTTCACAGATGAAGAAACTGAGGCCTACAGAGGTTAAGTCACTTGAGTGAGGTGGAAGAGCTAGTCAGTGGCAGAACCAGAACCCAGTCTCATGCCTGACTTCAGGGCAGCAGCAGCAGCAGCCATGAGTGTTTGCCCACCTCAGTGTTGAGTGTGGGAGCACAGTGGGAAATGAGGGCTGTGCCATGGAGATAGACTTGAGACAAGTGGAACACTCAAAGCCCATGACACACAACCCTGGAGATGCAGGACGTCCTCAAGCCCTGTACAGAAGAGGAACCCAAGGCTCAGAGAGGTTGAGTAACTTGCCTCAGGTTTCACAGGATGGGATGGAGCAGGATTGGAGCACAGGCGCAGTGTGCCTCCAGCTCCCTTCATTCCTCAAAGGATGTCAGAGGTCCAGCCCCGTCCTGGGAGCAGATAGGCCTTCTCCAGCATCCCCCAGATAGCCTGCCTGCATTTCAGGTCAACACACTGCCTTTATGGGACTAACATAACTTGCCACATGACCTCAAGCAAGTCTCCCATCTTGTCTCTGGACTTCAGTTTCCCTCTCTGTGGCATGAGGACTGGATCAGGTCCCCCTGGCTCCAGGGATAGGTGTTTGCCAGCCAGGCCCAGCAGAGGGATGGTCTTAGGAGCCCTCAGGGCTGGGCTGAGCTGGCGGGGCCTGGGCAGCCAGCAGAGGGCAGCAGCGCTGCAGCCCTCACCTCTGGCTTTTATCAGGGGGGTGGGGGGTCTTCACACCCCATGGGACCTTCATAGACAGCACCATGCCCATTGGAGTGGGAGCAGGCCTCTCCAAAACACAAGCTGCTCAGCGAGCCCACCCTCCCTACCAGTGCCAGTCAGACCCCACCTCACAGGGATTTCTGGGAGGCCCTCGCACTGAGCCAGAGGAAGCCAGAGTATGACAGCACACGGCACTCTAGGATCAGAGTCCAGCTTAGCTCACTCTGCTATGACTGTGCTGTGTGAGCTTGAGCAAGGTTCTGCCCTCTCTGGGCCTCTGCTTCCTCATCAGTGAAAGGAAGCTGTTGGAGCCAGTGACCCTTCTGAACCCCAGGGCTCAGGGGGCTTGGTGACAAGCAGATACTCCCCACCCCTCCAACTGCTTGGCCCTTGCAGCCTTCACACAGCACCAAGCCCTCTTGCTCAATTTAGCTAGAATTTTGTTTCACACCAGAGCAATGGGATTAGCCGGTATTGGCCAGACACGGGGATCTTTGCCTTCCTGCCCTGAACGCAAGGCCTTGCAGGTTTGGAGTTGTGACCTTAACACTTGGTAGGCTGAAAAAGAGGACCTCTCATAAAAGGAGGCAGACTGCCTGGGATTGCATCCTGGCTCTGTCACTGACAAGCTTTGGGCTGTTACTCATCCTCAGTTTCCTCATCTGAAAACAGACATACTAATACCCACCTGGAGGAGCTGCTGTGACACTGATCTGGCACTTTGTTGCATACAAAGCATTTACTTAGCCCTTGCACCTGGGAGCCAGCATTCTCATTATGCTACTCATGGCACTGATGTTTCTCACAAACAGCAGTCTCACTGCTGCACCTGTCCAAACAAACCTGTCTGTGCTCACTGGCATCCACCCCAAAGCTCTCCTACCAACGAGGGAGGGAACCAGAGTCAACACCTGAGCTGCAGGAGCCCCTCCAGTGCAGAACCTTCCTCCTCGCTCTCCAGAGAGTGTCTGTCTGCAGACTTAAAATATCCAACAGCAGGTCGTAAAGAGTTAGGGACCTTGGTTTTTCTACTTGGACAGTGAGACGAGACAGTAAGAATGCCCCTGCCCTGAGGTGGGCCCGAGACTCGGACATGCACAGGGGCACAGAGCCCGTGGGAAAGAGGCATGGGGAGGGGAGGATTTCTGTGTCAGGGATTCTGTTTGCGGCAGAGAAGCTGAGCAAGCATCCTAACCTGACAACGGCATTTTTGCTCCCTGGCTGGCTGACATTGGCCCTGCACAGAGAGTTCCCAGGGGCTGAGGGAGCCATTCCAAGAGACACCTGATGGTCCTGTGGAGGGGGACTCTGTGACTCCTCCCTGATGCAGCAAGCAACATTGTCTGCACCTCCAGCATCCACGTGTTGGACATGAGGAGGTTGGACTCCATGAGTGGTTCTCCCACCCTTTCTAGCCCAATAGCCCCTGTAACAAATGCCAAAGATACAAAACAGGTAATGAGGAACTATTCTAGATCCAGGGGCCAGGCCAAGCCCCACGACAGCCTGAGGCCCTCTGAGCACTTTGGAGCAGGTGTCCCTGGGGGCTTGATGACTAAGCCTCCCTTTCTCAGAAGCGTGAGCCCACATCTGGGAGCTCTCCCTTTCCCACTCAGCCATAGCCACCCCAGCTGCTTTCTAAAATGACTCCATCTTCCAAGGTCCTTCCTTCTTAATAAGGAAACCTCATTTTGCTGCTGTTAATGAGGAAGGCGGTGGGAGGGAGCAGGTCTGGCAGTCGCAGGACCCCTGGGAATGGGTAGGGAAAGTGTGAAGCCAGATGGGCATGAGCCTGCAAAGCCACTTGAGGGGTCCCCAGAGCACCCCACTCCCACACTGCCCCCAAGGGGACTGATGGCCCTCTCAGTCTCCCGCCTCCCACCTTTCCAGCCCCGCTTCTAAGATTCACAGGAGACGGGTGGGACCTTGGGGTTCCAAACACACCTCCGCTCTTATGGGAGCTCCCTGTGCTCCCAGCCAAGCTGAGCATGAGAGGCTTCCAGTTTCTAGGCTAAGGTTAGAGGGGCTGCAGGGTGCTTGACATGGAGCCAGGCACTGAACAGCATTAGGAGTGTCCGCCCTGTCCAGGGCAGCCTTAGTTGTCTGTTGGGCAGCTCTGACCCGAAGCTCTGCAGGAAGCAGCCTGTCCTAAACCAGTGCTGCTTGTTAGGTGCAGATGCTGACTCAAGACGGGTGGGGCTGGGTCTGAGAGTCCACATTTTTTTTTCTTTATTTATTTTATTTTTTTTATTTTTTATAAAGATGACCGGTAAGGGGATCTCAACCCTTGGCTTGGTGTTGTCAGCACCACGCTCAGCCAGTGAGCAAACCGGCCATCCCTATATAGGATCCGAACCCGTGGCCTTGGTGTTATCAGCACCGCACTCTACCAAGTGAGCCACGGGCCGGCCCTTGAGAGTCCACATTTTTAACAGGCCCCCACATGATGCTGCTGCTGTGGGAGTAGTCAGGGGTGGTGAGCACCCCACAGTGGTGGGTGCAGGAGCTCAGGAAGGATCGGGAGAGGGATGGTGGGTGTTGGAGAATCCTGGGAGCCCTGGACCTGTACGGTAGATTGGAAGTTGGTGGTGCAAAGAGCCTGGCCTGGGCCATCCTAAAGAAGGTGGTATGGCACCCCCAGACACTTCTAGAATGTGGCCAAATTTGAGCCCTTGAAAGTGGCGGGCCTGTGGCTTTGGAGTTGGGCTCACCAGCAGACTGGATATCCCCCAGGATAGGGGCCAGGATCCCAGGGCCTGGCACAGAAGAGGCGCTTATCAGTATTTGCTGAACAAGTGACTGAATGAGGCACAGCGGAGTCCCAGCTCTGCCTGATCTTGGGGACCTGTCTTAGCCTGCCTGCCTCATCTGCTTCTCCTGTAAAATGGGCACATCTATCCCCTCTGGGCTCTGAGGCCTTGTGCGGGCAGTGACTCACTCCTCCTCTTCCTCCCCTCTTGCTGTCATACCTGTCTTAGCCTGCCTGCCTCATCTGCTTCTCCTGTAAAATGGGCACATCTATCCCCTTTGGGCTCTGAGGCCTTGTGCGGGCAGTGACTCACTCCTCCTCTTCCTCCCCTCTTGCTGTCAGGTGGTCAGTCGGGTGGCAGCCCAGCAAGGGTTCGACCTGGACCTCGGGTACAGACTGCTGGCTGTGTGTGCTGCGAACCGGGACAAGTTCACTCCAAAGTCTGCCGGTAGGTGTCTGTTGGGGGTTCCACAGATGTGATCGGGAGGTAGGGAGAGGGGCAGGATTTTAACTCGGGGCTGTACGCCACCCCTGTAGGCTGGGACCTTGGTTCATCTAGGTGTGGTGTGAGCCTCTGAGGAGGAGAAACTCATCCACCAGGCTCTGGAGCCCATGGGTGGGCTTGTCCCTGTGTCCCTCCTAGGGAGCCAACTTGCCTCAGGGGGCACCTCAGGGCCGGTGAGTGTGCAAGGCATGCCACGCCCCAACAGCAGGCACTGTGCTAAAGGCAGGACATGCCATCGTCTCATGCCATCACCACGACAGCCCCTTGGCATAAGCACTGTGATCATCCCCATTTTACAGGTGAGGAAGCTGAGGCTCAGAGAAGCTGAAGAGATTTCCCAAGGTCACAGAGCTGGGATTTAAATCCAGACCTGTACTCCGCAGTCGGCGTTCTTAACCCTTACACTCTTCTGTATTCATTCATTCAAAAAAATTTTTTTTAAATAAAACACAAAATTAAAGATGACTGAGTGCATTTAGGGTCCCTAAAAGCCTCCTCTGCATAGTGTTTTCCACTGTAACTTTGTCATCACAATCATGCCAGGAGGCCCCACATCAAGCAGAGGTCACGGGACATGCTAAGTGGCACTCTGTGAGGGCTTTAGCACATTAAAGATACAGTTCTACATTTGCAATGGTCCTCATTACCTTGGCTTAGGCAGCAAGTGCCACGCAAGCTTTAAGACAGACTGACCTGTGCAGTCTAGCCCTGTCACTTGCTCAGCGAGCAGTCTCTGAGCCTCAGTTTATCTCCTCTGGAAGGCAGGAATGATAATGAGATCTGTCTCGTAGAGGTCATGATTAGTTCTAGAAATGCGTAACGTTCCTAGCACAGTGTCTGGTTGTTGTTAACCTTTATTGATTCAGAACAAGTAGTTGAAAAAGGAAAAAAAAAGTTATTTCCTCTGTATAACAATAAAACAGACATTTTCACTGAATTTGTCAATGAGTGCTTTGGAGTGTCTCTGGAAATAGCCTTCATAAAAACATTTAAAGGACATTTCCCAATGCGTTTCTATAAATCTGCTCAACCCATAATCTCTTGCATGCTGGTTTACGCTCCCTTACGTATATGTTTATAATCCATGCACGTGGACTGTGCTTCACTTATAAAAAGATGTGTGAAGGTCTCATTAGCCAATGCCAGCCTGTGCTGAGATAATATCACTATTGTTTTAAGCCACTTGCAAGAAAATGCTCTTGGAATCTCACAAGGGACATCTATTCCTGATGGAATCTGCAGTTTTAATAATAAGTCAATACAATTTTGACAAGGTAAAAATTGTGACTTATGAAAGAAACCTTTATCTCTTGAGCGTCTGTCCTGTGCAGGTACCTGGCCAGGGCTGAGGTTAGGAAGGGGAGCAAAACAGACAGGGAGTTTCTCCTGCCTTGAGAAACTCACAGTTGAAAACAGGGATCAGCAAACTTTTTTGGTAAAGAGCCATATGGTTAAGAATTTTAGGCCTCACGGGTGCTACAAAAGCAGCCATAGATGATACATAGCAAGTGTGTGTGGCTAGTTCCAGTAAAACTGTACTTAGGAAAATAAGTGATAGCCTACAGTTTCCTGACCCCTGGTCTAGAGGGAGGGAAAACATCGATCAAATAATTACAGGATTATGTGTGTGTGTCCACACGCAAATGTGTAAGTTCAAACTGTGATAAGTGCCATGGAGAAAAGGTCAAGGATGCCGTGGGAGTGTTGGTGGGGGCAGACCACTGCGGGGTGGGCAGGCTTCCTTGACTTGAAGGTTGGGTAAGGGCTGAGTAGGTGAAGAAAAAGAGGAAGAGCTTCTTCGCAGGAAAAGGGAGCAGCGTGTGCGAAGGTCCTCAGGTGGGAGGGGAGATGGCTTTTTCTTAGAACTAAGAGAAGGGCCATGGTCCTGGAGTGCAGAGGTAGGGGAGATGTGGCCAGGGCGAAGCTAGAGAAGTCAGCCAAACAGGACATGCAGGGCCTGACCTGAGGGTTGTGGTCTTTGTCCTAAGAGTGACGGGAACATGGCTAAGTTCTCATTTTGTGAAGACTGTGCCACTTACAGAACGGATTGCACAGAAGGCCAGCATGAAGGCAGGGGCCGGTTTTGGCAGATCACTAGGGAGGTTGGGGTGAGGATGATGATGGCTGGACCAGGAAGTCAAGAGTGGAGTGGAGGGGCCGGCCCAGTGGCGCACTGCTACAGTGCGCCGCTTGGGAGCGCGGCGGCGCTCCCGCCGAGGGTTCAGATCCCACATACAGACCGGCCACTCACTGGCTGAGCGAGGTGCGGGTGCAACACTGAGGGTTGCGATCCCGTTGCCAGTCCCAGTCCGGTACGGGCGCAACACTGAGGGTTGCGATCCGTTGCCGGTCACGAAAAAAGACAAAAGGAAAAAAAAAAAGAAAGAGTGGAGTGGAATGGAGAGAAAGCATGGCCAGAGGGGTAGAAGGAAACAGAATGGCCTGTCCCAGATGCCCCAGCTGCTCTGCACAGGAGGAGGAGAGATGCAGGTCCCTGTGCAGCCTCGCCCCCCACCCCACCCCCGCCAGGGTCCCTTAAGCCCCTGCCCTGCTGGCTCCTGCTAGATGTTCTCCTATATTCTGCTGCAACACTTAGCTTTGTGAGACACAGTATTACTTACATTTATGGATAAAGAAATTGATGCTCAGAGAGGTCCTGTGACTTGCCTGAGGTCACGCAGCTCATAAATGACAGAGCTGGAACTTGATTGACCTCACAGCCTCCTGACTCGAGGCCTCGGGCTGTGCCTACTCCACCGCAGCTGACTCAGGGGCTGATTAGGGACCTAGATTTAGGAGGCCTCTGTTCTCCTGTCCCAGAGTCTAGGAAGCCACCCCATTGGGGAGAGCCCTGCACTTTGCTCAGGTCTCTCTAGCATGACCCCTAGTACTCCTCTGAGTTGCACTTCCAGCATCCCTTTTTCTCTGGAAACAGAGGATTTGTTCTTTCCACCATCTGCATCAGCAGTTGTGCACAGCTCTTTACACTTTATAGCCCGCTTTCCCATGCATTGTGTACATAAAGTCACTTGATGCTCCCCAGACCCCTGAGATGAGTTCTCAGTATACCCATTCTGCGGCTGAGAACACTGAGGCACAGCAGTGTCTGTGGCTGGGCCATCACGTGGATTCCCTTACTAGGAGTCAAGCCCTTGTCAGTGCCGACAGATGTGAGTAAGCATCTTTCACAGGTCGCCCCTTGAGCAGGACAGACCTCATGGCTTTCAGGGCCCCAAGCCATCTTGGCTTGTCTTCTGAAAAGGCAGGGGGCCAGTCTGAGGGAGGAGAGTTCAGCTACCGGTTTTATTTTGGGCCATGAGAGGGGTGGAAGTCATGGGGAGCAGAGCAGTGACCCTAAGTTCCAGAGAAGGCTACGGGGCCATCCCCGGAGCTATGGCCTTGTCTGTGAAGAGGCGTACATGCCTACTAACAGGCTGCCTGCGAGGGCTAAATGAGATTCCCCAGTCGTGGGAGTGACGGAGGAGCCCAGCTAATCCCGACGCACAGCAGCTGCCAAGTGAATATTTCTTTCCAGCCTTCCGTCTCTGCTTCTGTCTGTCTGTCCCTTCCCCAACATGGCTCCGACCCTAGCAAGGTTGTTTCCCGCCAGTCTCTCTCCCCTGGGCTCTGTGGGGGGGGAGGTGTGACACACAGTAACCCTGCCCCTGGGCGCAGCCGCAAGGGTCCTGGTGGCCTCAGGTATGCACGCGCAGGGGTGGCCCCAGCCGGCCGCCCAGCCCTCTCCCAGAGAGGCCCTGCAGTCCTAGAACACGCCCTGTCCTCAGGGCTGCCTCTCCACCCTCCTGGCTTTCCCTGCATCTGTGTTCCGCCTGCCTGTGCAGTTTTTCCCTCTCCTTTCTCTCCCAGGATCTCTGGTGTCTGGATGAACTGTGTCTCTTTCCCCCCTTCCCTACTGCCCTTGTCCATCTCTTGCTTCCTGTTGCCTTCTCTGTCCTTCTGGGTTTCTCTGTAGCTCAGACTTTCTCTCTGCGTGGTGTGTGCATGGCTGTGTGTATATGTGGTGTGTGTGTGCACGAGTGCATGGCTGTGTGTGCATGTATGTGCATGCCTGTGTGTGTTGCTGTGTGTGCACGCGTGGTGTGTGACTTTGTGTCTCTGTATACTGTATGTGGCTGTGTATGCGTGTGGTGTTTATGTGTGTGTGGCTATGTGTGCATGTGCGGTGTGTGTGGCTGTGTCTGTCTCTGTGTGTGCTGTGTGTGTGCGGTCTTTATGTGTGTGCGTGTTGTGTGCGCATGACTGGGGCGACTGTAGTGGGGGCTGCCTCTGTGTCTCCGTGTGACTGTCTGTCCATCTGTCTGTGTCTCCCTGCTTCTCGCCACCCCCACCGCGGCGTCTGTCTCTCTTGTCGGGAGGCCAGGCTGGGGCTGAGGAGGCTGGAGGGATGAGATCATGCAGCGCCAGGAGAGGTGCTTTGTCAGGAGGGCTGGCGGTGAGCCGGCTGTGCGCGCGTGTTGGTGGCTGCGGGGCAGACGCTCAGGCCCGGGGCAGCGCAGGGCGGCGGCGTGTGTGCCGCATGTGTGTGCGGAGCTGGGGACTGCTGGGGAGAGCACGCACGGAGGCGAGCGCAGCCAGATGCTGCAGCGAGCAGCCAGGCAGGCGGCTCCACGTGGGCCCCCGGGTACCCAGCCCCCAGCCCTTTGTTCTGGCGCAGCCTTTAGCCTCTGTGTGCGCACGCGGAGCAGCGCGCGCTTGCAGCCGGGAGGCTCCTGGGGGGCGGGGCGGTAGGTCACCTGCCCGGCTGCACCTTGCTGCCTCCCCGTCCTCCCCGCCCCCACCGGCACCGCCTGCCAGCCCTCAGCGACTTGGCAGCCGGTGCTGAAATGTCAGCCTCCACGGCACCGAGCGTCCCACGCCTGCTGGCTACGTGGGCGCCCAGAACCAGACAGTCGCCATGTCCCAGGTCCCCAAGAGCCCTCTGC